TTTTTTTTTTTTTTTTTTTTTTTACTGAGGAGTAAACTCAGGACCTTGTGCTTGCCAGGCAGGTGTGCAGCACTGCTGAGTTACATCCCAGCCTCGAAGGAAATGATTTATCTTTTTCTATAAGAAAAACTACATAACTCTCAGTGCTCTCATAGGCTGTTGAGGAGGATTACAAGTATTCCAGTCAATCCTAGGCAACTTAGCAATACCATAATCAAGATATAAATTAAATACAAGGGTTATATCTGTAGCTCAGGGAAAAGGCCCTGGGTTCAATCTCCAGTATAGCAAAAACGGAAAAAAGAAAAATGAACAATGCTACATACTATAAAGTATTAGCCATAAAGTAAGAAAACGTATATATGATTAAGTGATTAATTATACATTTCAAGGCAGGCAGTGGAACCATGGAACTAAATTCCTGTCTCCCTAATTGTACATTTCAAAAGGTCTAGTATAAGCACATCCAACACATCAAAATTATTATATGTGATACCGGAAGACATGGAAATGTTAATTACATGATTTATCATTATACATTTCTACATGTATCAAATTAGGATCTTATATTCTATCCATACAAATAAGTTAATTTGAAAATAATTTTAAAGAGATTTTTTTCTGGCACTGAGGATTGAAATAGCGGCATTTCTACCAAACTTTATTCCCAGTACTTTCGTGATAGTTTATGTTGCCTAAACAGGACTTGAAAATATGATTTTGTTGCCTCAGATTAGTTTCATTCTTCCTCACCTTAGGAGGCATCCCAGGCATTCCAGTGTCACCACTACTTATCCATACATGCAAGCAAAGTGCTGAAAACTGTGTGGCGGTGCACACCTGTAATCCAAGCACTTGAGAGGCTGAGGCAGGAGGATCACTGAGAGTTCCAGGTCAGCTTGGGCTACATAATAGGCTGTAGGCCAGCCCAAATTCATAGAGATCTTTTTTAAAAACAAACAAATGAAAAAAAAAAAACACCTGACTTACATGTTAAGCCCCTTTACTTACGATTTATTATTAAGCTGGTCAATATTTTTAAACAAAAGAATGATTATTCAGTTATTAGATATTTCTGTTTCATTTTGTTGAGGCTAATCTATGCTTTCTGGTGAGCATAATTCCTGGCTTCTGCTCATTAAAGCCAGTAGTAACCACCAGATGTGAAAAAAAATATTCCTAAACAGTGACAGATGTCCCTAGAAGGATAAAAAATCACTCCCAAGTAAAATTACCGCCCTTGTCATTGGAGAAAAAAATTAAGATATTTATAAGATCCTCAAAACAATTTGGACATGCTACTTAGTCTTTAAAATTGACATGACTATGCAAAGCAGTAGCATGTAAAATTGATTATAAAAATACAATATTATGGTGGACAATTTGCGTCTTAAACAGAAGTTTTATGGTTTGTGTCTCAATGTCCCTCCAAAACCTGACATGGCCATTAGGGCTTTTTCAGAGGTGGCTGAATCTAGAGTGTGTGGTGCTGGAAATAAGGGTGTGTGATTACTAAATCAGTACGTTGACTGGTTTGGCACTGCCCTAATCCTGGTAGTCTGGACAAGATAAAAGGGGCAAAAGATGTTGTTAAGGTCCCTTGTTGCTTTTGCTTCCCTGTGGTTGCCATGAACTATTTCTCCTCCCCCACATCTCCCTGCATGTGCTACTCTGCCTTGGATCTAGAGAATTATGGGCTGAAACCTCTACCAACTGTGAGCTCAATAAGCCCTTCTTCTTTAACTTTGGGTGTTGGGTATTTTATCAGCATTGAGAGAAAAGTAACTAACACAATAAATATACCAGTACACATGTATTATTGGAGTGAAAAATAGAAATCAGTCATTTTAATACTAAAAGTGTACTTTTATAGCAAAACATTTATTGGTACATTTTAGGCATACATAATGTTAACACATCATAGGAATGTGTCATAGAGATACATTGTAGGGATACAGCTGTTTGATTTACATGCAAGTCTCCATTTCTCATCATTTCTTTATATTCACCATGCAGGAGCCAGGACTTCTTACATCTCAAGCACAAATTTACATAGAATCTCAAATTCCTATTCTGAGCCCATTTTCCAAGTCCATGAAGGTGACTTTTACAACTCAATGATTTTCCAAGGTTGCTGCCTGCTGTCTAACCTGTCCTTTCTTATTCACACTGAAACAATAGCTCTGTGTTCCTGGGGCAGAGAAGGAAGCACAGGCTATGTGCATGTAACTAGACAGAGATACAGGACGAGCATGGAGAAGAGTGCATGGGGTAACAGAATCTCGAGGTATTATAAATTTCATGATGACCAGCACAGAATCGGACAATCCTGGGATGGTTTAATGAATCCACAATCCTCATTAGCTCATCACGAATCTGGTCCCGTCTCTGATTGGCACCTTGATGGGGAACATAAATTCCTTGAGGGATGAAGTACATCTCCAGGAGTAAATTGCTCAGCCTGGCCGTGTGACTCAGCAGGCTCTCCAGGGTGGCTACAGACATGGAGTTCATGTAGCTGAAGATCTTGAGCTGGGAGCATCGGCTCAGTGCAGGCAGAATGACATGGAGGTGGGCATCTGTGATGCTAAAGTCCTGCAAGTGAAGGGTGGTCAGGGTGGTTGCAACATTATCCAGTAGAGCTCGGAGTGGGTCAGGACTAAAATCAGTCATTCTGGCACTACACAGCTCCAAGTGCTTTAGCTGCCTGGTGCTGGGACACTGGGGCAGCTGGTTCCAGTCTGAGCTTGAAGGCTTGCAGCAAGAGATTGAGAGTTTCTCCAAGGGGGATGTCAGAGACCTGAGCACTGGGGAGGAGACAGAGTCCAAATAAATTTCCTGCAGGCAGTGAAGCTCAGGAAATTGAGAGGTGAGTTTGGTGACTAACTGATCTGTCTGCTCCTTGGAAAACAATAGTACACAGATGTTGTGGAGAGTTAGCTTCTGAAGATTTTTCATCTGGCCTATGGAAGAAGCAAACTGAGCCAGTATGGAGTGAGTTGAGGTTAAATACACCCTCAACTCTTGCACAGAATCAAGGTTTGCCATTTCTAGGACATCTGTGATATTTTGTGTGCTTGTCAGGTCAATGTCCAGCTCTGTACACTCCAGCTGCACAAAACCTTTCTTTTTCTGGACCCACTTGAGGAGGTAGGATTTGAATGGATCCTGTAGATCATGATAGAATGGGAGATCTAAAACCACCTTAAGGGACTGCTTCTCTGATACCCTTGGCCCATTCTCTATTTTTCTCCTCTTTGTGGCCACTGAGGAGCAGGCTGCAATCATGCTTCTAAACCAGAAATTGCAGTGGTTTTCAAATGTCTTTCCAGCCCAGACTCTCCAGAAGTTCTTGTGCATGTCCCGCAGATCTAGCACTTGTAGTTTCACCCTCCTTGGGCAAACCTTTTGGGCCAGCAGCCCATCAATCCCATCTAGCACAGCTTGTAAGATCTGCAGGCTCCTATTCTCCCACAGCACATCACCCAGCTTAGTTTGTGATGTCCCCGGTTCCAGCAAGTTCATGAGTGACTTCAGAGGTAGACAAGGAAAGGTCCAGGACTGCACCATGGCCTTCAAGACATCAGTGTGTCCCCTGGTGAAGGCCTCCACAAACATTTCAGGGAAGAGCTCCCCCGGCAAATCTTTCAAAGCCCCTACGGCCAAGTCTTCATCCTCTAGCAGATTCTGAACTGCCAGCTGCAGGAGTGTGGGTGGGGGCCTCTTTCGACTCATGGTGAATCTTCAAAGCCAAGGTTGCAGGGGTGGAGGGAATTGGTGAGCTGCTCAGGCCTCCGAGGAAACCAGGCAGAGACTCCAGACTCCAGGCTCCAGCTGAGTTTAGAGGAAAAGGTATCAGAAGGAAGTAATTATCCCTGCAGTCTGTTCTTATTTGGCACTGAAAGACCAACATTACTAGAGATACACTGAGAAATGAAGTGAGCTTACTCCAAACTGTTGCACAAGTAGTGCTCCCTTTAGCCAATATAAGAAGCTTCTCTGGACTTGGAGTGGTGGCATACATCTGTAATCCCAGCACTCAGGAAGCTGAGGCAGGAGGATCACCTTGAGTTCAAGGCCAACCTGGGCCAAACAGTGAGTTTAAGGACAGCCTGAATTACAGAGCAAGACCTTGGCTCAAAATACAAAACGAAATAAGACAGTAAATAAATAAATAAAAGAAATAGAATAATGTGTTGTTAATGTCAAATATTTCTCACATCTCCATGGAAACTAAGTATAGATAACTGAATCAACTAACAAACAAAAATTTCCAAGTAGAAGAGAAGAAAATGGTCAGGTGATTTGGAGGCTAAACTCTTTCCGCAATTGGAATGAAGGAATCCATCACATTGATCTCCTTTCTATGTCATAATTATGTTTCTACTCTCAGATTTTTCCTGAATTTCCAGACTATTTTTACAAGGATATTTACCCAATGATTTTTTAATTAAGAAAATTATTAATTGTGTCATCCTGACTTAAACCAAGACATGTTTCATAGACTTCTGAGTCCTCCAAGTGTTAAAGGAATGGAGGTCTCAAATATCAATATATTTAAGATACCTGGCCCTTGAACTGCCTTCTTTTTTTTCCTTCTCTTCTTCCCCACACCTCCTCCTCCTACTCCTTATATCAGTCTTTTTTGCTTTCTTTTGTTTAACACAGGATCTCACAGTGCAGCTCAGGCCTTCTGAAAATCTTTTTCTTTTTTAGACATGGTCTCACTCTAAAATTCAGCCTGTCTTTGAACTCATGATGTAGCCTAGGCTGGCCTTGAATTTGTTGAGATCCTCCTACCTCAGCCTTATGAATGCTGGAATTATAAATATTCACCGCCTCCATCTGCCATAGAACTGACTTCAAGGAATGTATTTCCAAGTGCTTTGTTTTTTAAAGACAGGTTCTTGCTATGTAATTCAGGCTGGTCTTCACCTCACTAGGTAGCATAGCCTGGCCTGGAATTCATGGCAATCTTGCCTCAGCTCCAAAGTGCTGGGATTACACACAAGCAATACCTTCCCCAGCTACTTCCAAATCTTCACCAATTTTCTAGCACTTTCCTATCTTCAGTAATGTGTAAAACTATATTTGTTAATAAAATAATACATATTTTCCAAAATACTCATGATGATTTTCTAGGAAGGATGAGCTTAAAGAGATTTCACTATTCTTTTGCTTTCCTGTATTTTAAAGATGATGGAACCAGGGTCCTGCCCCACAGAAAGAGAGAGTGTGCACAGACTCTGGGGAGTAGAGGAGTGGTACAGACCAGTGCAGCTGCAGTCAGATCCCAGCCAGGGATCCACCCCAACCCCAGAGGCTCAGCAAACCTTCCCAGCCATAGCCCACCCAGTAAAGAGCTGCAGAGGCACACAAGCTTCAGCGAAAGGCCCACCCCATAGCTTCAGTGAGTGTGTGCTGATCCCAGGGAGCAGCAGTGTGGTCCAGAATGGCTCAGCTGCAGGCAGGTCTCTGATAGGGATCTGTCTCAACTCCAGAGGCTCAGGAAAACCTGCCCAGACAAGGCCCACCCAGGAAAGAGCTGCAGAGGCACACAAGCTTCAGTGAGAGGCCTGCCCCATAGCATGTGATTTGAACTCAGGAATTGGTGTACTGCTGAGAAGCAGAGAAAGGCCTCTTGGTGGCTTGCTGAGAATTGAAGACCACTGGATAGGCAAAAAGTTGTCTCAATAGAGCCACAGCAGGCTGCATCTATTGAAATGAGAAGACATGGAAATGAGTCACAAAACCAGACTTCCAGATCACCTAAGGCAACCCCAAAGGGAAACGAGATAGAACAATGTGATACTCAACCATCTAGACTCCCCGAACTGTCAACAAAAAAAAGGATCTGGAAAAAATGAAATCAGAAATAATTTTTCAGATAACAGCAGAGAATGTGCCCATAGTGCAAGACATGATTAATAAATCTAGAGAAGAAACAGATATTAAAAAAATAGAGGCGCTGAGGAACATGATGGAATCCCAACATAGGAATCAAATGGAATACATAAAACAGATGCAAACAGGTTTCCAAGACATTAAAAACTCCATTGAAAGTTTATTCAGCAGAATGAGCCAATGTGAAGATAGAAATTTAGATATAGAAGATAGGATCACAATTAGTGACCAGGAAAAGAGAAATTTCGTAAAAATAGTAAGGGACCATGAGAAATCAATCCAGTAGCTGCTAGATGATGCAAAGAAGAATAACATAAGACTAATTGGAGTCAATGAAGAAACACGAGAGAGTGAAGATGACATAAAAAAAAAAAAACTTCACAAAAGTAATGGCAGAAAACTTCCCAAGTAGGGGAAAACAATTCAACATACAAATAAATGAGGCATATAGTACTCTAACTAGCCATGATCAAGAAAAATCTACACATAGGTATACAATAGTTATAATTCAGAAACCCAACAGAAGAACAAAATTCTACAAGCAATCAGAGAAAATAAACAAATCACACACAAAGGAAAGCCTATCATAATCACACCAGACTTTTTGACACAAGCCCTCAAGTCAAGAAGAGTTTAGAGTGATGTATTTTAAGCCCTAAGGAAAATAGCCTCTAACCCAGATTGATGTACCCTGCAAAACTATCTTTCAACATTTATGGAAAAATAAGATACTTTCATGAAAAAGAGCACCTTAGCTACTTCATGAATACCAAACCAGCACTCCAAAAATTTTTAAACAATATCCTAGGAAATGACAATAAGGGACAACAACCCTAGAAATCCCAGAAGAATGAATCCAGCAGGCATGACAAGAAATTAAGTGCAAAGGGGGAGAATCCGACAAAAAGAAAACATCATGACAAGGATAAATCAATACATATTAGTTATAACCATCAGTGTTAATGGTCTCAATTCACCAATTAAAATAAATAGATTGGCAGAATGGGTCACGACTCAAGGTCAAGCAATAAACAAGAAATACACTTAATTAAAAAAGAAACTCATAGACTGAAAGTTAAAGGTTGAAAACAATACTCCATGCAATAGAAGCCACCCCGCAAGCAGGAGCATCTATCCTCTTTGCAGACTAAGTGGATTTCAAACCAGCACTGATTAAGAGAAACAAAGAAGGACACTATATCCTTGTAAAGGGAGCAATCCAATAGGAAGAGATAACAATCATAAATATATATGCACCAAACACTAATATTCCCAACTATATAAAACCAATACTAACGGACATAAAAAATCAAATAAGCACTAGTACAAAAGTAATGGGGGACCTCAATACCCCACTGTCACAAATAAATAGATCAGCTAGATAAAAAAATAAACAACAAAATACTAGAACTCAATCAAACTTTTGAATAAATGAACTTAACATATTTACAGAGTATTCCACCCCACAAAATCAGAATACACATTCTTTTCAGCTGCACATGGGTCATTCTTGAAAATAAACCACACACTGGCTCATAGAACATATCTAATTAAGTGGAAAGGAAGTGAAATTATCTCGTATATATTACCAGACCAGAGTGCAATGAAATTGGAGATCAATAGCAAAAGAAACTGCAAGAATTTCATAAACACATGGAAATTAAACAACATGCTTCTGAATAACCAATGGTCACAGAGGATATTAAAGAAGAAATCAGACAGTTCTTAAAATTAAATGACAATGATAATACAACATATTGGAATCTATGCAACACAGTGAAAGCAGTCTTATGAGGGAAATTCATAGCACTGAATATGCATATTAGGAAAACAGAGCTCATGCAATTAAACAACCTGATACTGAACCTCAATATTCTAGAAAAAGAAGAGCAGGACAAATCCAAAGCTCATACAAGAGAAGAAATTATAAAGATCAGAGCAGAAATGAATGCAAGAGAGACTAAGAGAATGATATAAAAAAATCAATGAAGCAAAGAGTTGGTTCTTCAAAACAATAAACAAAATTGACAAACCCTTAGCACCCAACAATACCTACTTTGAGAACTTTTACACCAATAAGATGGAAAATACAGAAGAAATGGACATATTCCTAGATTTGTATAAACTACCAATGTTGAATGAAGATGACCTAAAAATTCTAAATAACCCAATATCAATAAAAGAAATTGAAAATATAATTAAAAACTTATGAACTAAGAACAGCCCAGGCAGGCTCTGATGGCTTCACTGTTGAATTCTACAAGACATTTACAGAAGAACCACTGCCACTACTGTTTAAAATTTTCAATGAAATTGAAAGGAAAGCAATACTCCCAAATTCATTCCTGGAAGCAAGCATCACCTTTATCACCAAGGCAGAGGAAGACCCAATCTAAAAAGAGAACTATAGGCCAATCTCACTAATAAATATAGATGCAAAAATCTTTAATAAGATACTGGCAAATGGAATGCAGAAGATCATTAAGAACATCATACACCCTGACCAAGTAGGATTCATGCCAGGGATGCAGGGATGGTTCAGCATACACAAATCAATAAATGTCATATACTATATTAATAGAATCAAGGATAAAAACCATGTGTTCATCTCAATAGATACAGAAATAACACTTGACAAAATCCAACAGGCATTCATGATTAAAAAAAAAAAGCAACAGAAAGTTGGAATAGATTATCTCTACCTCAATCTGATAAAAGCAGTCTATGAAAAACCAAGAGCCAATATCATACTAAAGGGTCAAAAACTGAAATCCTTCATGCTAAAATCAGAAACAAGACAAGGATGTTCACTATCACCACTTCTATTCAAT